GAAATAATTATCTGTTTCTGTCCACTGGCTGAAAATCTCTGGTGCTTAACACAATGGATAATGTGGGAATGTGGTGGGGGAAGAGGCAATTTTGCTTAAGGCATCTGCATTGGGGGCTTGGAACAAATGAGAGCAGTCATAAAACTGAAGCCGTGGAGTCACTGCATTGGCTTGCTGGATGCATCTTTGGTTTTATGATGGGTGTGTAAACAGAAGTAAACAACATTCTCCTCCATTTACTTCACCAGAGGCAAGTTCCTCAGGCAGCTGTTGTTCTGCTGCTTTCTTTTGGGTCATAAAACAAGAAGGGTGGTCTTCATGTACCCTCTGTCTGTTTTTTCTTTTGCTTTTGCTTTTGTTTTTGTTTTGTGTTTTTTGGTTGCTTTTTTGCTTTTTGTGTGTGTGGTTTTTTTGGTTTTTTTAAAGGTAGAAACCAGTTAATGTGTTGGGGTTTTTTTGTCGTTGTTGAAGGTGATTTATCTCATCTGTTTCCATTCCTGGCTTTTATTAATATTTATAAACCTGAAAGAAAAAACTGAGAAAAAGCCAAAGCCAAACACCCAAAGCAGCTCCTTTGCAGTATTCTGTCATGTTTTCATTATTGAAAGAAAGTTAATTTAACGGTAGATCTGTTAAACATAAATCATAACCTTGTTTAAACAATGAGCTACCTTTCCTCACATGTACATTTGTTTGGATTATTTATGTTATTTCTGTTTTAGAGGACATTTATGTGCTGCCCTTTGCAACTATTTTCTGAATTATGGATCAAAATCTCTACAGTGGAATATGTGAAAACATTTATTTTTTATGTGGAAACATAACTTCTTGAAAGAAGCAGCGTGCAATTGCAGTTGCAACTTGGCAGCCTGTCTATTACAACTGTGCACTTGTGTCTAAATGTTGAAGCCGTTCTGCTATACAAAATTGCACGCTGTGTCATTTTGTTCTCTTAGGCTGTGAAAACCATCTTGAAACTGAGAGGTAAAATAGAGGTACTTTTATGGTCATTTAGGCATTATTTCACAAAGGTCTGCCGGGAGAATGGATGCTGCTCTGGTACCTCATAATCTTTCATTTTTCTGAAGTTCAGTTTCACAACTTTGGAAACCAGACATCTGTTGAGCTACTAGCTTCTTGGAAACCAATTATATTTAGGTGGCAAACTAGCTTGGGGCTGCAGGTGTGGGTGGGCAGTTTGGTCATGTGAATTTCTATTTACTCCCCTTTGTTGTCTCTCTTGACGGTAATCCTGCTGTTATCATAGAACATTAAGACGATGGTTCTAGCTCTGACTTTGTGAAGAATAATCTCAAAATACATTTCTAATAAATGGGAAATAGAAGGGCTTGGTAACAAGAATTTTTAAAGTTTTGTAATTTTCTAATAAGTGCTTTGTCTCATTTATAAAATGATTAAATAACCCAGAGTGCTTTCAAGGGTGTGAATTGATGGGAAGAGCTCATCACATCTGCTAATGTGGCTCCCATACTAGGTGATCTGAATGTAGTCTCTTTTGCTTCTAAGGTGTATCTGTTGCTGTCAACTAGGAAAGATGTACCAAAAAATTGCTTTGTTTTCTTTTTCTTATTTACTCTTTATGTAGAAACATGTGGCATGATTATGTTTCACAGGAGACATGAATGGAGAGAAGTCTGCAAGGGATGTTCAGTCCTGCAGAGTGTTTTATACAGATAGAGCTGCTGGGATTTGAAATATTAGGCAGGACCAAATGTTGGCTTGAAGTTTCTTTATGCTTTTCAGGTAGTGGAGTTTTCAGCTTTCTTAAATACAGCGATACTACAGAAATGGTACAACTTTCTGCTGAGACAACTTTCATTAGCCATGCTGGGCTCTTCAGTTTCTGTTGTGGCAATACTGCAGCAGTTTATTAAGGCCTTCTCCAAATCTGCAGACTTTGCAATAACAAAACTGTATCAGGGGCTTTGGCTAGCATGGCATTAACCGTGATGTGGCAGAGAACCTATTGGTGTATTTCTAGTGTATTAGTGACAGTAGTGAAATGTCAGGTGCGTGTCAGTGTCAGTGGCCTCTAGACACCCAGTACATAATGAAGAGGCTGTGAGCTTCTAAGGAAGCTGGAGATCATACGTTTTTGCATCCAAACCCAAAAACATATTCAAAGGCTAATCAAGGAAACTCCTCATTTTTAGTCAGTTAACTATAGCAGTTTGGATGAACAAGTGTGAAGCTTTTATTCTAAAGTGGAGATCTCTAGACTTGTCTGTATAGTAACTTTCTCTGCTGTCAGCTATAATTATACCTGCAACTGCTAGAACATTTACACTCTGAAACACGGGGGGGCCCATAAATGGATTTTTGGCATGTTCTTTCTTCCTGCCTTCTGGCAGTAGTGGAAAGGAATATGCACCAAAATAGATGAATACAGGAAATGTGTAAGTGAGTGAGAACTGTTCGTATTGGTACCTCCGGTATCTTGCTGCACATCTGACTTCTGATGATTTGCCTTTAATGGTTTCAGTTTAACTGGCTTCTCTGACATAAATTGCATAAGGTTGCTATAATTGAAAACTATACTTTCAGACCCTAAATATGATGAAAGACACAGTCATAGAATCATAGAATACCAGCTTGGAAGGGACCTCAAGGATCATCTGGTTCAACTTTTCTAAGTAAGCATGACCTAGACTACATTTCCTAGCACCCTGTCCAACCAAATCTTAAAAGTGTCCAGTATTGGGGAATCCACCACTTGCCTGGAAAAATTATTCCAATATCTGATTGTTCTCATTGTGAAAAAGTTTCCTCTTGTGTCCAACCAGAATCTCCCCAGGAGTAACTTGTGCCCACTACCCCTTGTATTTTCCATGTGACTCCCTGTAAAAAGGGAGTCTCCATGTTCTTCGTAGCCACTCTTTAAATAATGGAACATGATGATGAGGTTTCCCCTGAGCCTTCGTTTCTCTAGGCTGAGAGATTAGTCACTGGTAGCCAATAAAATTCATGCTTCTCAAAGACATCTCAAAACTTGTGTGTTCTTAGCGGACTTTTCAGAGACCTGAGACAAATAATAAGATTGTAGGTGTCACGTGTAGCAGTAACTTCCAAAGAGTCCCTAGGGAAAGCCTCTGTTCTCTCCGATTTGGTAATTTGTTTTTAATGACTGAACAAGTTCATGCTTTGAAATGAAATAGGCTTTTCTTGCTTTATGAGAATGTTTTGGGGGAATGTGCTTTGCCTGCAGTTTATAGACAGTCCCTGAAGGAAAGATGTTGCAGAAGATTCTCCTTGCAGCTGTGCCACTTCTGGCATTAGAAATGGAGGCAGAGAAATGAGGTGAAGATGTGGTATCTTCCAGGAAATGGCTTGGGAAAATTTTCTCGTGTTCTTTATGTCTGTCTCTTCTGGATAAATAAGTCTTAAGAGGTACCATAATCTTGAGTTTACAGAAGGCAGCCTTGAAGATTTTGTTTGTTTGTTCACAGCCCTTTAACAAAAACTCCATGGGAAGGGGCAAAGCCATTAGCATGGCAAATATCTGTTGTTGTAAAGCATGGCATGTTCTTTCTTCCTACCTTCTGGCAGCAGTTTGTGTATTGCTGCTGTAGGACAAATAAGGATGGATAGTGTGTCTATTAACAAGAGTCTGAGTAAAAGTAAAGGTAGCAGCATAACACCTGCAAATTATGTTGGATTATTTGTGCGAGCAGGGACAAGAACAGAATTAAAAGCAATGCAACCAAATGATGGGGTTTTTCCCTGCTAATCAGATAAATTTGAAGTCCTAAAGAAAAAGAAAACCCTGGATCACTGCAGCCTCTCTCTGCAAGGCTTGGTGTTAACTCTTTTGCAAGTCTTGGAGCTCTGGCTCAGGCTGGGAAACTGCAGGGAGCTATTTGCTCTGTTTTGCATGGGGTGAGATGGCACTTGAGCACAAAAGACCCTGAAGAAACCTGCTTGTGTTTGAAGGCAGCCTGCCAAACCCTGTTGTAGTAGTAGTTTTTGGTGAAGTGAAGGAAGTCAGAAATACAGAGGAGAAATGTTTGTAATACTTGAGTAAGCATCTAAAAACTTCATAATTAGAAACTCCTAAGATCAATAGAAACTCCAACGGAAAATTTCCTGTCCTTTCTCTGCCTCTTAGCTACCACTGAACAGCCACAAATGGAGTCATACGTAGTCTGCGGTACTTTGGTGAGAGACAGGAAATCATCACTGGTCCATAAATGCAGAACATTTTTTGTAGAGCATTTTTGTTTAGAAGCTGATATTGTTGCAGGAAGGTAATTGAAATAAACTGTTCTTTGCTGAAGGATATAGGAAAGGCGGGTACTTTGCTGCTAGTAACGTGTCATTTGTTTTTTTCAACTTGTCTGTGTTGTAGGACTGTTTGGTTTGTCAAATTTAGCTGTCCAGGAGGTCAGTGATGGTAGCATAGTCTAGATTTGCCTAAGCAATGTAACAAAGACCCTCCTTTCTGTACTAGGAGCATAAGCTATTTGTCTTGCTTTTCAAAGTCCTCTGCTTCCTCCTTCTCTCCGGAGCTGTTGTCTCTTGCTCAGTCCCAAAGAAAAGATCAATTCCTGCCTCTCCCTGTGATTGCAAAGCCAGGCTGTATTGCCTCCTTGCTTTTCAAACAAACATCTGTGTGTTCTCCGCATGTTGCCTCTCAGGCTTCAAAGCAACCTTCCAGAAACATCCACAAAGCTTTCTCCTCACTTCTTAAGGCCTTGCAACAGTATCCACAAACCTTTGAGGATGGCTAATGCTTCTGAGGTGCTTCGAGTATTAAGCAAGCTGTAATGTCATTTTGTTTCTTTTTTCACTCATTTCCATATCTCCTTTCACGTACTTAACTTTTTTGGTTTTTTTGCCCTAACCCAGAGCTAGTGCTTGTGGGCTCTTCGATAATACAGATCATGAGTAAGAGCTCACATGCATGTTTAGCACAGTGTTTAAAAAAGTATTGCAGTAAGTGGGCTATTAGGTTACTAATGCATCTGTTTTATCTTCCACAGAAGCCCCTTGTGCTACTCCACTGATCTGTAGCTTTGGAAGGCCGGTGGACCTGGAGAAGGATGACTACCAGAAGGTTATATGCAACAACGAGCATTGTCCGTACAGCACTTGGATGCACCTTCAGTGCTTCTATGAGTGGGAAAGCAGCATTCTCGTCCAGTTCAATTGCATTGGCAGAGCCAGGAGCTGGAACGAAAAGCAATGTCGCCAAAACATGTGGACAAAGAAGGGCTATGACTTAGCTTTTCGCTTTTGCTCCTGTCGGTGTGGGCAGGGTCATTTAAAGAAGGACACTGACTGGTACCAAGTGAAGCGAATGCAGGATGATAAGAAGAAAAAGTCCGTGTTGGAGAAGAGTGCGGGAAGGTCAATGGCAGAGTCGGCAGAGGAGGCCAAAAAGGGCAGGCCAGCCAACAAGCCGCAGAAAGGCTTGAGTAATGACATCCAGCGAAGGCACTCGATGGACAGGCAGAACTCGCAGGAGAAGGGCGTCATGGGCGGCAGCTACGCCGTCCGTTCGCCTTGTGTATCTCCCGGGCAGTCCCCACCCACCGGCTACTCTATTCTTGCCCCCACGCACTTCAGCGGCCCTCGTTCCTCCCGATACCTAGGAGAGTTTTTGAAGAACGCCATTCACCTGGAGCCCCATAAGAAGAACATGGCCAGTGGGGGCATGTTCAGGAACACGCATTTTGATTATGGGGCAGCTGGCTTGCAAGCACATAGATCAGGACACTTTGATGCCCCTGTGCAGTTTTTGAGAAGGCTCGATCTATCTGAGCTACTTACTCACATCCCCAGGCATAAACTGAATACTTTCCATGTGCGGATGGAAGACGATGCCCAGGTGGGCCAAGGGGAGGACCTTCGGAAGTTCATCCTTGCTGCTCTTAGTGCCAGCCACAGGAACGTTGTAAACTGTGCGCTATGCCACAGGGCACTGCCAGTGTTTGAACAGTTTCCGCTGGTGGATGGGACCCTGTTCCTTAGCCCATCGAGACACGATGAGATTGAATATGATGTTCCCTGTCACCTTCAAGGTACAGGTTGTCTGTTGGTCATGCTAGGTTTCATTAAATGATGGAACTGCCTTCTGTGCCCTGTTCTCCCCCTTGTAGGTTTCCATTCCAATTCTGCATTTTTAAGCAGTTCTGTAGAGCCTGAAGTCACGTCCAAATTAATGACGTGGATCAGATTGAAACACTTAAGAGGAATTACCAAAAGCAAGTGCTGTGTAGAAAGATCCATGCCTTGTGTTTTGGTTTACAACTAAATGATTTCTCATCTGGATTCTAGGTAGATCGTGGGAAGGTTTTCCAGCCAATCTGTTCTGCAGCATGTGTGTGCTGTTTTATCCGTTGTGAGCTTTACTCCAAGATACACATCAGCCTTTTAAACAGTCTTATATTTAAGTGTGCTGTGCCGCAGTGTGGGTGAAAGTTATATTTGTACTGCTGGTCAGGTGAGATGCCTCTCATCTGCTTTCAGACTGGAGAATCTCTGTTTTGTTTTATAGCATTTTTTTTTTAATATGGAAAGGACTATAATCTGGCCTGTGTTAACACTGGCCTGGAGAGGTTGAACATAGTAAAAGTAAGCTTATAATATGGTGGCCTGAAGGAGCAAAGGCGTAGTAAGGGTTTTAGACTTCTTTCCAAACTCCTGCCTGTTTGGATTGCATTCTGATCATGTCCCAGCTCCAAGCTGAGTTGAGACCAAGGCATGTATTACTTTTCTCCTCCTAGAGAAACAAATGGATGTGGTCTAGGATGAGCTTCAGCTCTTCCTGAAAGCTGTGCCCTAAACTAAGTGATCAGGGTGGTACATGGCAAAACATTCCTGTCCTGCAGTCTGCTGGCAGCCAGCATGGCTCAAGTAAGTCAGATAAAGTATTCATAGTTGGGTGTTCAAAAACGTAGAATTATGTGTTGAAAAGGGTGTTGGGAAGGCACTAACAAGAGGTATTTTAACATTTCAGTTTCCCTCCTTTCAGTAAATTTATGTCCCATGGATCATCATAATACATTTTATGCAACATTCCTTTGCTCAACAAACTTTGTATTTTTATTTGCTTTCTTTCCTGAAATCACTGTGCACTATGTCATTGAACTGTATTCATGCTAACATTATTGTTCTTGTCTTGCCTAATGTACTTTAAGGAGAAGAAGTGATAGGCAAATATACAGGCTAAAAAAAGCTCCAGGATAAACAGAATGTATGTGTGTGAGATAACAATGCTTATTTGCTTTGGTGGGGAGGCATGCACAATGTGCTTGTGATTTCATCAGTACTAAGGACTGATTTAGCAATAGCAAAACTCATCACTTGTTGATGTTTCCCACTAAGAATGAAACTCTGCAAAAATATGTCTTTTAATTAATTTTCTTACCCATTGGGTGATACATCTGAAAAACTTGTTCAGACAAGATACTGTGAATAATTAATTGTTAAAATTTTTACCTTCTTATCCTGGGTAGAGTGGTTTATTATCAGAAGTACTCTTCGAAATGAAATTAAGCTTGCAAGGTGCCGTTCCAGGGCGTTATTTTCTCTTCAGTATGCAAAATCACTTCTTTTATTTCAGGCATGTTTAAGATACCATGTGGCTCATTTCCTACATACAAAAAAAATTAAGCAGTGGGGTAATACAGTATTTTAACTTGCGGGAACTGTGCAGAACTTCAGATGGGGAATATTATTTTATCTTCCTCTACAACAGAAAACTTCTGTGCTTGGAATTATTTGAATGTCTCCAATCTCCAATCTCTCTGTTTGCTTTAGGAACAAAGTTTATTATGTTTGCACTTTAGTCTCATCGCATCACATTTTCTAGAGCTGAACACACCAGTGTGGAATAATTCAATTTTTACCAGCTCATACTAGCAAGTTTATTTTGTATATGTATATTTTAGGAAGAATCTGTTTTTTCTTTTAATTTTTCTAAAATAAGTTGTTGTAAAAACAAAACACATTTAAAAGCCAAACCATTAATTCTGAAAGTGTATGGTATGGACTAATCATAAATTGTTAATGATTCCCTTTTATCTAGAAGACGTACAAGATGAGTGTGTTCATTATATTACAGGTTGTGATGTGTTCAGTGCTTTGATGCTAAAGAGTACAAATTACAATCCAAAATAAACACATATTATATGCAGTTCTGTTTTGTAGCTGATCTGTAACTGCACTTCTTAGCTTTGTCTTACATTGCAGTGCAGAATATGGTATATTACAGATTAGTACTCTGTGTCATCCCACTTCTAATAGCCAACTACTAAAGTAGAAATCAATTCAGTCACTACAAATTGGGCATAATCTAGGTGACAGATATCTGCAATTTATGTAGGACTTTTTGTTTTGTGTGAAATTTGCACCTTGGATTTCGCGTTGGTGAGTTTAGCCACATTTATATAGAGAAAATGCTTCATTCTCAAGTCTGAGCCACTTGATTTTTATGGAAGTCAGTATAACTCAGGTTTTGAAAGTGATTGTGCATACAAAGCCTAAGGTCATGATAGAGCTCAATGGATTTGTAGTTCTGAATGGCATGTTAAAGTCTGTGTGTGTGAAATACATACAATGTTTTTAGATATACTTAATGGTCAGAAAAAAAGTACATGAAAGAAAATTGCTCTTCTGGCTGTTGCTTTTTTCCATGAGGAATATCAGGTCCTTAATTCCCTCTTTGCTGGAAGATGTTGGCAAGTTGTTAAATGAATCTGTACCCAGCTTGCTAATAAGCTTCAACACTTCTCCACTTTTTCTGTCAGGTGGAGATGAAGCTAGGCACAATCCTAGTTTTGGAAACACTGCAGCTGATCATGTAGCTTAACCTGGCATCTGTTCATGGACTTTCAGCAACTTCTTTTTATAAAATATTTTGCTAAGCTATATCAGCAAATGGAGGAAGGGGGGGTGGTCAGGGTGATGACTAATTCCTGAGTTTTACATACATGGAAAATAGCTTCAGTCAAGCCCTATGTATTTCCCATAGAGAAATGTTTTTTACTTTATTATTTATCCTTTTAAAAAATGATTTTAATAAGGTATGATTTGTATCATTCTTGGGTAGATAACACGTTGCAGGAAATGTCTGTTTTAATCTTCTGTTCTGGTCTCCTGAAGAAGTGTCTTTCCTGTCCACAGGAAGGCTTATGCACCTCTATGCTGTTTGCGTAGACTGCTTAGAAGGGGTTCACAAAATTATCTGCATTAAGTGCAAGTCCCGATGGGATGGAAGCTGGCATCAGCTGGGAACTATGTATACCTACGATATTCTGGCAGCATCTCCCTGTTGTCAGGTTAGTACCATCTGTAAATAAGACTCATAAGGTGAAATTCCAACTGATGATGAGTAAAGCCAAGGTTTATGTATCTCTTCTCTTTTTCTTCTTCAATCCTTTTCCAGCCTCTACCTGTGAGTGCAGTACAACAGAGCTGACCAAGTCCCTGTCCCTTTGTCTTAGCTTCTGAGGCCCAATGGCCTATAGCTAGACAAAAGCCAGTGCAGTGGTCAGTAGTTAATACTTACGTTTTTAAATAAAGCCCCTTTAAATGTATTCACAATTAAATCTGATGCTTAGGATGATCACTAGCAAGTATGTTTGGCATCAGGTATAATTCTAATAGTATTTTAATAACTTTTCAGCAGATGCTTCATGTATACAGATTTCTTTTAGTTGGTTGAATTGTGTTTTACTGTAATAGTAGCAAAAAGGGCTGAGGGAATGGAAAGGTCTAAAGTGTCTTTGTGTTTAGAGATTACTCACCTCTCCTTAATCTTTGCTGTGGCTGACTCTGGTGATGCTACTTTGCCACAACCTGCAGCAGCTTATTTTTCATTAAATGCTCACTGAATCTATTCCTTGAGTGAGAAGGATCCAAGGCTTGGGATTACTGCAGAGTAAACATGTGCCTGAGGGAGCAGGATCATCAGCATACAAGAGAATTGTGCATGTGATGGGCAGAGCACTTTGTTGTGCAAGTAGAGGTAGACAGCCATGGAAAAAAGCATTTGTCTGGGAACAGCTCAGTGGTCCGCTTAGGATGCTTAGGAGAGGGCTGTTGCTTTCAGTGTTACTGGCTTAGGACCCAAGCCATGCAAAGTTGTACTCATTCAAAATGTGATTGCTTCATGGTAATGCGTGTGCTTCAGAGCAATCTAAAATACAGTTTTGTCAGTATGTGAAATGCCATTTTACTTTATATTTAAGATACTTAACAAAATGTGTTGCTCAAAAGACAAGTGGTATTGCTGCTGCTGGTTAAAATGACATTGACGATGATTATAACTAAAGACGGAGATATTGCCTCCAAATTTAGTGCCTCTTGAGACTGTAACCTTTTTCAAAAAATAGGCATTTCTAAAGATAAACCACTGATGCTGATACGCTAGCTCTGTAAAAGCCAGCAAATTTAAATCTGAATTGCTTCTGTTGAATGTACAAGACAAGAATTAAGGTCTCATTATACAAGAGCCTTAATTATATGATTAATGGACAGTGTGACAGTACATGGTAAGTAATAGAACTGACTATGAAATTGTTAGCTGCAGTGACTGTGATTGCCAGATACCGTGCATTATTGTTTCACCATGATTGCTACAGATGATTCTGTGCATGCAGAGGAATGACATTTAAATATGGTATATAATTTATTGCCCTGCTAATTTTATTTTGAATAATTGCATACCTTATTTCAAAGTATTTAATCACACATCACAAATGGGCATGTAGGATAATGAACTGCAGCCACTGTCAGATTACTAGCACCTTATTGATGTGCTGTATAGTAGCAAGGGGGAAAGCAACATTTAGCTTAAAAACCATCCTCCAAATCCATACCATACTAGATTGTATTTCTTGAAATTTCTGCTTTTCAAGCAGAGCAGATGGCTGTGGAGCTAGTGGTTTGTTTCTTTTTGAGTTTTGTCTCAACAGTAATAGTACTTTAATAGTTTCTTCTTCTTCTGATCCCAGGAAAATTCCTTAAATCAAGATTGCCATAGAAAATTTTTTGTTCTTTACAGTGAAGAGCTGAAGCTTTCATTAGTGTATTGGGCTTTAAGTGAGTTTAAGCTATGGTGCAGCTCAGGCCCCCACTGATCATTTGCTACCTTTACTCTTAACCTCTTTTACAGTCCCAAATCCCTTCTGCTTCTTTTGCGTATTTCAAATGGCCTGCTGAGCTTTCACACCACCTGTTGCTTTCTTTACATCAGCTGGGCTAGGTTTCTCAGCTAGATTTCTTCTGAAGACTGACTTTTTTTGTTACTGCTGAACATTAATAGCTCTGTCTGTCCTCACCCTTGACCTTTAGTTATTTCTCATATCCACCCAGTTAATGTTGGATTTTGTAGAATACTTTGTGTCCGTGAAGTGATGTTTAGTTTGTATAACCTGATACGTATTATAAATGTTTAAATAGATACTTAAAGTGATACAATACCATGCTGTGCTGATGAAGTAGATTGAGCTATAGGTTTGTTAAGCCAAAAGATTAAAATGCTGATGTATTTGATAGATCATGTTCAAACATCAACCTAAACGGTTGAATTGCATGGCACAAATGTAAAATTTCTCTCTTCGCTTCGGGGCTTCGTTACTGATTTATTGAGACAGCACTTCCTGTGCTGGGGATTGAGGAATTAGCTCAGAGATTAAGCAATACAAAACAATCATTTGCATATATAAACTTTGAAATTCTTTACCTCCCATCAGTCAGAGTGGGAGGTAACGTACTCTCCAGAATTCGGTGGTGGTATTTCATGTGGAGAGCATTGTGTATGCCTGCGAGTTACCGGTCCTGGTGAGGAATGTCTTTACCAGCAGATCCTGCTGTTGCTGGTTTCCTGACTTACCCCATCTCCTGCCAGGGAGGGCAGGGTAGGGACTGTGTGTGAGGCCCTTGTTTTCAGCGGCGACTTTGGTTATTTCGAAAGGGTTTTATTTGTTTGTTTCTTTGTTTTTTTTACAGGCTCGACTGAACTGTAAGCACTGTGGGAAGCCAGTAATAGACGTACGGATTGGCATGCAGTATTTCTCTGAATACAGCAACGTCCAGCAGTGTCCTCACTGTGGAAATCTAGACTACCACTTCGTGAAGCCATTTTCTTCATTTAAAGTTTTGGAGGCTTATTGACGAAAGCTTTGCTTTAGTAATAGCTATTTTATGGGTATTTCAACTTTATTACATATCTTTTTATAGGATTCATTCTGTGATGAAATTTAGTTTCTTTTCTAACTGAAAGAGCAGCTTCTTTGTCTGTGTACATATTGATATGTATATATACATGTTGTTAAAACTAGAATCCTCCTGACAAGATCTCTGTGAAGGCTGGAGGCAAGCCAATTTAATGGCCTTTGAATATACCCCAAGTGTGGGGTAAAGTTCAGCTAAAAATTATTTGGGTTTATTTTTTTGTATAATTGTAATACAGTTTATAGAAAGAGTGTGGGGAGACATGCAGGACAGAGAAATATGTCCAATTGGAAAGTGGGTAATTGTGTAGGGGCTGTTGTCCCTCCAGCTTGGTGGAAATGGGAAATCCCTGGAAAGAAACCATCCTGTTACTATTGAATTCCTTTAGCCTTTTGCATCGGTTCCCATGGGCACAGGAGCTGGTCCTGCACTGCCTGTCGCCTGAGCAGGCTTTCTTTCAGATTTCCTGAGATGGGGTAAACTAAGGTATCGTGACAAGTGAATGTAAACGTATACCAGAAAATGCAATCTTGAAATGAATTATTTTTTTGGCATGGTGTCTTCCTGCCGTGTGCATTTGATGTATGTTGCCTTCACTGACGAACCATAAGGCAATAGTGCTGCTTCCACCAGGGCTGTCATTGTGCCCAGCTGGCTCATCTGTTCAATCCAAAACAAGCTGGAGATCTTAAAATGCTTTACTTAAAGGTGTTTCTTGATAGCCATTTTAGGGAAGGAACAGGCTGAGCTGAATGAGGATGTGTTTGTATGTGTCTGCTGGGGCTGTGGCTTTGCTGCCTACTGCAGACTGGTGTGGCTGGTGTGGAAGGAGGACCATGAAGTGGGATCTGGGCTGTCAGACCTGTAAGAGCTGGGAGGTACTGAGTACAAAATATGGCATCACTTTTTGAAAAATTAGTTTCTGGACCTTTGTCTTTCAGAATTGCATGAAGTCCAGGATCTAAAGAGTTGGAGACTATGCAGACTTGACGTATTTTCTTTCTACATGTCTCTGTGCTGTATGGAATAGACTATGCATTAGGCAGTGCATTTGTATCAGAGGGCTTGGCTCTGTCGACTCTGCAGTTGTTGTTTCTTGGTTCCCATTTCTTCCTTCCTTAAATAAAATTTTTAAAATAGGTCATTACTCTTTTGCTTGGTTTCTCAAGCCAGTTGAGATTTACAAGAGATTTGGGTTTTTCTTTGCTTTTCTCCATAGTGTATTTATGGAGTGTTTGTCCACTTGAGAGGTGTGGGTTTTGTTTGTGTTTATGAGGTGGGATTATTTTTTGTTTGTTCTAAAGTTTATGTTGTTTTTCCAAATTAGAATCTTTTTAAAGAGTGTATCTGTTGAAATCATGATCCTGAAAATGGCCCTGATACTCTGCCACCCTGGGAAAGAAAACAAAAAAGTCAGATGCCAAACAAGTGCTTCATATGCCGGTCTGAGAAACACCCTTTCTGCTAAGTTAAGAAATTGATGTGCACATAAAACTAGAACCGAATATCCATGTTTCTTTTTGCATAAAAATGCCAAGTTCACAGTTTTATTTCCTGGCTGTCTTCACTGCAGAATTAGCTCCTTTAGCATTAGCCACACTTCGAGTAATATTCAAGCTGCACAGAGGGCTTTTGTTGGTACAGATCACTTACTGCTAACTTGAGAGATAATGTCCTTAGAAGCCAGCCAGCACATGTTAATGGTGTTCTCATCTGGACTGCGTATCTCATACAGTTACACTGGTGATCTGCTGCTGGTCTGAACAATGTTAGCAAGCTCTGGTAGTTTTCTGTCATCACTAGCACTCCCCTCCTTCTGTCTTCGTTCCTGGACTTGCTTTTGGGTCTGGAGCACATCCTTGGGGTTTTGTGCAGTTGTTCCCTGTTTGTGACGGTTTGGGGAAAACCTATTTCCTTTTCAAAGAGAATTCTTGGAAGGACTTTGAGAGACTTCTAACAGTATCCTGACATGGCTACCACAAACCAAGTTACACTAAGCCCAGTTGCAGTGGGACCACCATTGCCTGTAGGAGCAGGAGCTGGCCTAAGCATGCCTGGCCTGGTGTCTAGCAGATAAAACCTGGTTAGCTGTGCAGTGTAGATTTTCCTTATGGAGAATAATCAAATTACAATTTGAATAAACTCTTCAGGGAGGATGAGCCCTTCAGCTTTGATGGTGTGTTGAGCAACCTGATGGAGTTAGGATGGCTGACAAGGTTTGGAGTTGCATTGCGTGACAGTACCGCGAGAACCAGACGAGATAGAAATGGCTAGGCTGTTCGAGCAGCCTGAAATCACACAGCAAAGACACAGCTCCTGTAATGAGAAAAATTAAAGAGTACATCTGTTACTGTAGCATTTGTTCTTGAGTGCCAGTTACTCATGCTGTGAGTCTAGGGCGTTAATTCCCACATAGGCTGCATGGTGCTGTGCATCCACTTTTTATGCACTCGGACAGGGGAGGTGTCCTGGTACAACGTACACGGTAGGGAAGACGTGGGATCTGGAGTCCTTCAAATACTTGTTTATTTGGTTTCCTAGAGTAGCTTAATTTATTATTCTGTTCTTTAAGTGCTTAAATGCCTCTCCAGACATGTATGTGTGACAATCGAGAATAAGTAGACATGGAAAAAGGGAATTTGGCTAGCTTTAAAAACACAATTGTATGCAAGGTTGTACAGTATATTCAAGTCAAAGCACAGAATGCAGCAGACTGAGCAAATGGGAAGGGGTAAGCGTATATAAAATCTTAACAGTAACAAGGACTTATGTACAAATTTATCCAAGAAGACAATTTGGTTCTGCATCAGCTTTTCCTTTTAATTCTGCTGTTCAATGAGTCCTATCTACCGCTTGAGGAAATGCCCGTTTTCTTGCAAAACACATCTCTTGACTGGAGGCTATCAGCACTTGTAGCACTGTAAAAATGGTCCTTGATGGAAACCAGCTGAGCTACAGAAAGATTCCTCTGAACTTTTGCTCCAAAGTAAATTGTAGAGAATGCTTTCCCTGCTTCTTGCTGGTACTGAAAAGTGGTCTTCGGTTACTGCAAAACGCAGTATTTTCTGTAACATGCGTCAGATGCCAGTGAAGCAGTCAGGCCTGCCTTTTGGCCACGAGAATTTCAGCTGGGCTTTGCGTAAGTGCAAAGGCAAAGGTAACTTTTTTGGGACCTAATGGCTACTTCAGAGGTTAAACTAGACTGCAGTTGGTTTGCTTTCTGCCTTGATGAGCACTGGAAGTTGTCATGAGCTTTTAAATGTGGCAAAAGGGAAATGATTTCCCCAGCTCCTTGCTTAGCTTATTTGGCTAAAGTTTATTCTTCATTACCTTTCATTTTTCTGATGCTGTATGTTTGTTTTTTTTTTAATCTGACCTGTGGTCAGATTAAATTGTGCCTGAAATAGGGTTTGTAAACGAGAATACAGTCCTCTGGATTTGGAGGTTCATTCTACTCTTCTTAAGTGCACGATGCTCCTTGTGATAGTAATAGGAGTTGCATGTGCAAATGCTTTTCTTTCCAGTAGTTAACTCTGTTTTCCATAGGAGAGGCTTGCATTTAGATAGACTTCATGTTTTGGATGTGTAAAAATAAATTAATCCATCAGTAGGATGTTTAAAATTAAATTTTGATAACCATAGCTAACATGATGGACATCGTTTACATGCTGATGTGTAATTTGACATCTACCAAGGTGAACAGCCTGAAATACTTGTTCTGCCTAGTGCTGCAGAGTCATTAAAACTACAGTGTTCTATAGCCAGCCCACAGACTATCCTATAGTCTATTTCCATTAACATCTCCAATAGTGAGCATTGTATTCATTATGAATTTAGTTGGGAAAATAGGGAATATTCCTACAAGGGAGGCATCTAACCCAGTTTCTTTTCTTTTTTTCTTTTTCTTTTTTAATTTCTTCTTTCCCACATAGTCTTCATGTTGCTGTACCAGGTAACTGAGGACAAACATGATGTTGTAAGGTCACTGGTAAGAAAACCCCTCAAAAATATACTTGTCCATAAAGGTTTCTTGTTGAGACATTCTTTGATTGCACTTTTGCAGATGGAAGAATATGTACATAGCAAATGAATGTTGATTAAATTAAAATAATTGGTTATGATATCATTTGCGTGTGTTGTTAGAGAATATTTTGTTGTGACTTCTCTGTATTAAAAAGTAATAAATTCCAGACAGCTAACAGTGTGGGTTCTTCTTTCCCCCTTCTTCTCTTGACTATTTATTACACCTGCTCTTTATAGAGAAACTTACTCTGGTTGCCTTAAGTATTAAAAGGCACAGAGAAAACAAGTTTTCAGTGTCAATTAAAATGAAGCTTTGACGACATACTGTACTAAAAGGGATAGAGAGGTGATGTGTCCCCTTGCAAAACAGAAGTCTTGTTCACTTTGTTGACATAGAAATGCTCCCCCTGTAGTGCAGTGTGTCCTGTGGGAGCCGATTCCGGAATGCCTGTGTGCTGCAACGGCCATTGCTCGTAGGGATGAAGAGAGGACAGAGTGTTGAATCCTTCACTTCTGGTTGAGTCTGTAAATGGAAATATGCCCTCATGTGCCTGAGAAATATCAGAAGGGCTTCTCTAGGGGAGAACACAATACGGTAGCACAAGGCAAAAAGGTTTCCTGCATTACAACCGAACACTTCATATCTGAAACCCTGTTGCAAGGGAAGGAGCCTCAAATCCTTGCTTCCTGCATAGGGTTTTCAGCAGTTCGACTAAACATCTAGTCATGCATTTTAGCAAACCTTGCTCCATATGCTTACAGCATGATTTTTCAGACCTTGCATATTACCACGGAGAAATTCAGGAAGGACGTAAATGATCAAGGCAATACAGACTTAAAAAAGACAAAGCAAATACTGCCACAGGGGAAGGAGGGCCACAGCTTGAGAGAGAAGTGTAATTTGGGGATTGGAAACA